GAGAGGTACTTGAGATGACTGAGCCTCATGTGGGACCACTGCCATGCTAAAGCATACTATTCATGCCTTTCTAAATGGCCCAGGCCTTTCCCCTTGCCTCTGGAGATGGGACTTTAAACATTTCATGAGGTGCTTCTGACACAGTCTGAAAAAATGAGAAGCTCTTGCCATACTAAGCCACATACTGCCTGGCAACAATCAGCAAGACTGGATGATTACTGTCCCAATTCAGGTGGAGTCGGTGTCTTCCAGATGACTAGACTGTGCTGTCTGGCTTGGTACCTTTGCACCTCTGAGTATGAGACCCTGGTCTAGTCTCTTCTCACCCTCGTCACACACACACCCATTTTATAATGGGGAACTGTTATGGCCTTGTCAACTCATCTAAGCTAACTACATTTTCCAGAATTCCCACACTTTATGTTTCTTGTTAGTGTGGGCTACAAGGCAGATACTTGCCAGATTTGGAAGGAAGCAACTATTTTGATTGCTGATCTGCTGATGTACCTTCCTGGTGTGAAGCAGCATCTAGGCCTTCATTTTTTTTTACTCCTCAACCAATTGTGTGCATGGTTAGCTCTGTGATGAAGGGCCTCAGCTTCTGCAGAATACCCTCATCACCAAGGTATTCAGAGACAGTAATAACAGTCCATCCTAAGATTCCAGTTTTTGCTAGTGAGTTTCAGCCTGCTCATGATCTTCACCTGACTGAGCACCTCAAGCTGCAGCATCAGTCACAGAGATTTGGCCTTACAGAAGTTGTTTATTCAGTCTCACAACTGTGCAGGGCAGTTCCCTGTAGCAATCAAATACTACATAGGTGTGTGCCTATATCCCTTCTGGTTCTGCTTCTCCATTGAACTCCAACTGATATGGGAACCTGAAGCTCCACTAACTATTCCTGACTCATGATCTGTCAGTTGACTCACTGCTTTTACCATTCCCCAAACTCAGGAGCTTTTTCCAATCCTGGGGACCTGTGCTAGTGCTACTCCAGCCTGGAGTGTCCCTACCCAGAAGTTGCTGATTTATTCTCCTCCTGCTGCACGTGGCTAAGCTCCTCCAGGACAGGCAGCAAGTCTGATAAGTCTGCCAAGTGTCACTGCCTTCATTTTTCAAGTGTATGTGGCCCCAATAGCATTTGCTGCTTCATGACTAGTGGAGCTGCCTCTGGCCACATCATCCAAGGTCTGATACCTGGGACACTGAGATTTCAGTACCCTTGTGCTCAGTGCTCAGACCTTCCAACAGGTCTTGTGTTCAGCACTACGCCCTGTCATGGTAGAAGAGTTTCACCTAGGTTGGTCTACAACAGTTAATTGGATGAATTACTGAAGCTGCACAGCCTGGAAAGGGGCTTTTCCAGTACCGGCAGAGCTGCCCTCCAGCCACAAAGTTGGATCTAGGGACCCAGAAACTAGACCTTAGGAGGTTCAGTGGCAGGTGGGGTAACCAAAGGACAGAGCACTACCTCTAGGGGTACGCAAGGGTTGGGGGCAGGAAAACTTTGGCCAGAGGCAGTATGTTCAGACTCTCTCTGGTTAGCAGATGAGTAAAAGAAATCTTTCTTGGCTCTACTTACAGACAAAGAAACTGAAGCTTGGGGAGAACAGTCTTTCCCAAGACCAGAAGACCATAGGGGAGATAGGCCCAAAATACTGACCTTAGCCTCCAGGACCTGGTCCCATTAGATCTACCTGTCTGATGCAGTGGATGCTAAGAGGTGCACCACCAGCCTGAGCCATTGCTACATATTTTGTCCTTTGCCTCCTCACTGCACTTGAGTCACCTCCCCCACGAAGCCCTCTTCCTGGGCCTTGCAGTATAATGTGCCTTCAATGTTCATCTGGAATTGAGGCTCCGTGAAACCAAGTCCAAGAGACACATGGTGTATCCTGGGCTTCCCAGCTCCATACAGGAGGTGAATGTGGTGTCAAGGCAGAAAAGGAGCCTCCCACTCTCAGCACCCACACCAGTAAGATGAATTTTTTAAAAAGATTTTATTTATTTTTAGAGAGGGAAGGGAAGGAGAGAGAGAGAGAGAGAGAAACATCAATGTGCAGTTGCTGGGGGTCATGGCCTGCAACCCAGGCATGTACCCTGGTTGGGAATCAAACCTGCGACACTTTGGTTCGCAGCCTGCACTCAATCCACTGAGCTACGCCAGCCAGGAGGTAAGATGAATTTTTGAACTCCTCACTGGGGCTATCATGAAGCTAAGATGAGGCCTGTGCTTCCTTCCTCAGAGTGCCTGGCACACACTGAATGTTCACGTGGGGCTGATTGTGGCCATCCATCTTTCAACTTAGGGTGCATATCAGAGATGTAGGATCCAGCTGCAGAGGTGCAGCTCTGCTGAAGTGAGCAAGCTGCAAGGAGGGGAGGGGCCTGTGAGTACAGATTGGGACACTGAAGGGTGGTTTCAGGGGAAGAGCAATTTGAAGAGATGAAAAGGTCCAGGATATGAGCATGGGAGGGTAAAGTGAGTCAAAGGAATGAGAGACAGATTGCAAGTAATGGAAATTCACTTCAAACTAGCTTATTTAAAAAGCAATGTAACAGCTGACATGACACAGGTCTAAACTTGCCTCAGGCACGGCTGGATCTAGAGGTTCCATTCATATTCTCGGGCTTCTATCCATTTTTCAGTTCCAACATTCTCTGTTTTGGATCCTTTTCCAGGTGGGCTCTCCCTATATGTTGATAAAGATAGCCACTGTTAACTCTGGCCACATGTACTACCCTTTGTGATCCCGGGAGAAAAGAATAGTTTCAGTAGTTCCAGGAAAAGTCCCAGGACTTTCAGTGAACCCACTGGGGTCAAGAACCCATTTCTGACCCAGTCATTGTGGCAAGGTGAACTGACAACCCTTATTCACTGCATCTTTGGGTCATACAACCATCCCCAGGACTGAAGGGATCCGACTCCCAGAACCACGTGGCCTGGAGTAGGATAGGTTGAGTCTCCAGAGAAAAATTAAAGTGTTCTTTATTATCAGAAGAGTGGGAGACCTGCCCTGAGGGCTGGTTCAGTGGATGCTCCAGTGCTCCTGGGGGAGGCAGCTCTTAGGGTGGAGTAGAAAACAAGCCAGGGGCCCAGGTGATCGGGGGAATAGAGAGGTGGAGACAAGACAGAGGAGTACCACATCATCAAAGCGGGAGGTCCCTGGGAGAGCAGGGAAGTATGAGCAGCAAAGGGAGAATTTTGGTGGGAAATATGGAAAGGCAGTGAGGAGTAAGGATGACCTGAAGGACATTTGGGGTGTCCTAGTGCTCATGGGATGTTCTCAAAGGAGACAGTCAGCAGGGTTGGGGGCTTTGGTTAAGTAACACTCCAAGAAGGAGATGAAACTCAGTGTGAATTGCTAGGCAGAAAGGAGCAGTAGGCAATGCAAGTGTCAGACCCTTGCAGAACACTCCACAACCCTCTCTGAACCTTAGGGCCACCTGGGAGTTGGTCAGAAAGCCAAATTCCAGGCCCCAGGCTGATTCCAAGTTGGAGAATTGGAGTGAGCCCAAGAGGCATCTAGGCTGGATTTCTGATTTAGGGAAAGAGAGTAAAATCTGAGGGATCACATTTAATTTATCAGGAGCACTATGCCCCAGAATTCTAGGTAGGCTGAGGCCTCTAGCTGCTGTCCTACTTACTGGCCCTGCAGCCAGTATGGATGGGACAAGGCCCTAGGCTAGCTCAATAGGACATGAGCTGGCAGGGTGGGTGGGGCTGTCAGCCCTGGCTCACTACTCTGTGTCTCCAACTCTTTCCTGGATGTCCACAGTTCCTCAGAACCAAAACATCCACAGCCAAGTCTAGCATCACATCTCCTCCTTTGACCTAATGACAGTGCTTCCTGCAGCCATCAGTCATGTCTCCACACTCAGGTCAGGATCCCATCTTGCACTCTGAACTGCCTAGAGAGTAATGACATGCTCAGCAATTCATCTTTGACAGGAAGATCAGACAGGGCAGGCGCCTGTACTTATTTTGCCCACTGTTGTGTCCTCAGCCCAACACATAACAAGGCAGGTGAGACATTGGCACCTGGCTCTGCAGTCCCCTAAGGCAAGCAGCAGTGGGCAGGAGCCTCCAGAGGAATATGAAGAGACTTGAAGAGGGAGTGGAGTGGCCACTTGCCCTTGAAGGGTCTGCAGGGTGGTAGGTGGTTGAGGTCTGCCCTGTGACCCCACCTCATGCACCAGGGAAGGGTAGTTAACTAACACTCCAGTGTGAGGGGTACAAACAGGCCACAGGCCCTTCTCCAGTGGTACTCCCTCCCTTCCCCCAATCTATTGCCCTTCCCCTCTTTCTGTAGTCTATGTAGAGGGTCAAAAGATCCCCTGAATCTCTCACCTAACCCTAGCTCAGGCCTGCCCAACTTGGTACATATACTATCCACTGTTCTAGAAAATGTCCTGAATTTTAGAGTTAATACCCATTTTACAGGATTGACTTTTCAGAATAGACCTGTCAGAAATATGTCAGAATAGCTTCAGCCTGCTGCCCAACTCTAGGAACAATTCCATATGCTAGACACCAGAGTGTCTCAGGGCTGACGATCATTCTCAATTCATCCAGAAACCCTCGCGTCCTGTCTGCAGTCCAGATTAGCCAAAAGGATCAGTCAGGCCACACCTCAAGTTGTGGGTAGTGAACCCGAGCCCAGAGCCTCCGTATCTCCCTGTCATATCAATACTAAGTAACCCAGAATTCAGAATAACTAACTTCCATAAAAACCCAAAAGGTGTCCTTTTAAGAGCTGAGGAGCCCTTACCAGTAAACCCTGAAAACGACCACTTCCCCTACCCCAAGACTGAGGCCATTGTTGGGAACCGAACAAGGCTATCTATCTCCAGCATCTTTTCATCTGCGTTCACAGGATTGTCGGTCCTGAGCACCCTTCCAGGAAGAACCAGGAGAGGACTCCTGGGACCCACCATCCCACCCAAAATGCGCGCCAGGCGCGCCCATCCCTAGCCCACTCAGAAGAAAATCAGAGCAGTTCAAAGGTTTGAACAATTTATTGTGCCCCACAAAGGCCAACGAAATTAAGGGAAAACCCACGCAGTAGCGCGCGATTGTTTGTCGCGCACGCAAAGGCTGGCGAGTGGGGAGCCGGGAAAGGGAGGCACAGTGGCTTCGGCCGCTGGCGCCTAAGGGCGGGTAACCATAGCGACAGCCGTGGCCAAGGGCGAAGAGCCAATGGGGGCGTCATCATGGCCATTTCAAAATCTGAAGCAAACACAAAAACAACAACAACAAAAAATACTACCACGGCGGGCGGGGGATGGGACAAAAGAAGGGGCCCTGGGCCCCTTGCTGCGCTCAGAGGAGGCGCGGCGGCCCAGGCCAGGGTAACCGTATAAAACTACATATACTTGGGGTACAAAAACCAAACACCCGCCCAATCAGCAGATCTGTGCGCTCACTTGCGGCCTTTTGGTACTTTAGGGACGCTGGGCTTTGCGGCCTTCTTCACTTTGCCCCCAGCTGCCGCAGCCTTCTTCGCCTTGCCGCCTTTGTGCTTCTTAGAGGCGGCGCCCTTCTTGTGCGAATTCTTCTCAGGCTTCTGGTCCGAGTGCCGGGGACCCACCGCGCTCGGGGCCGCCTTCTTGCCCTTGTGCACGACTGTGGTTAAGACCGCGGTGGCCGCCGAGGCTCCGCGCCGCTCGCCGCCGCCTTCAACCTTCTTGCGGTTGAGCTTAAAGGAGCCGTTGGCGCCGGTGCCCTTCACCTGCAGGAGCGTGTCGTTCTGCACCAGTGCTTTGATGGAGTACTTCAGGTAGGTGCGCCCATTCTGTTGGTCGAACCACGCCACCTTCTTGGCCTCAGTGTAGATCTTCGCCAGCGAGGAGCCATTGCGCTCGCCCAGCCTGCGAATGGTCTCCACCACCAGCTGACTATACTTGCCCGGCTGGTTTTTCTTCTTGTTCTTCCTCTTCTTGGAGGGGGACAGCGCCGCCGAGCTGCTAACCCTAGCTGCCTTCTTGGCTGTCCCCTCGGTGGTCGTCAGCGGCAGGGCCTCTTCGAGCTCCACAGACATAGTGGCCAGCGGATTGGTGGCAGGCCGGAAGCAGAAGCCCGGTGGCCGCGCCGGGAAGAGGAAAGCGAGAGGCCGAGGGGAGGCCGGGGGGCTGGGGGCGCGCGGCGGCTCCAGGCGGGAGCGGCCGCGGCCGGGCCTGGAGCCTGGCGGCAGGGCTGAGGAGGGGGCTGGGCCTGAGCCGAAGCCTGAGGAAGAAACCGGACCGGGGCCGGACCGGGCCGGAGCAGAGAAGCTGCCCAAGGGAGCAGCTGCCGCTGATAACACTACTCCCACCAGAGCTCTCTTGCACGCTGAGCGCAGCGAGAGAAACAGAGAAAGAGGGCGCCTTGCTTCCCTTTTATGGCTCTGCGGCGGACCACGTTGAGAACAACAACAGCCTGGTCCGCAGCCAGCTCCAACTTGTGCTTTTTGGAGCCGCTTCCCCAGCCACTGGCTTTCGGGACTTCACCTCACCGGCCTCACTTTGCTCGCAGTCGTGATCCTTGGACAGAGTCCAAACCCTAGGGGCAGCGAAGAGGCGGTCTGTTCCTGAGAATGGACCGGCATGGGGGAACAGAGGGGTGCACCTTAGGCTGAAGAACGCGAGGTGGGGGGGAGGGGGGACGCTGCTTTGGAGAGAAATACTGTAGAACCTGGGGGAGGCTACACAGCTCTGAGCTTCGCAGCCCACAGCCAAGAATGCGCCACGGGCACCTAAAGCCTGACTGCGTCCAGAGAACCCTGGCCTTTCCGCAGGACCAACTTTAATTTGTCCGAACTAACACAGGGCACGCCCTCACGTGGTCGGCTGGGGCACAGTGACATGAGCTAGGACTTCTACCAAGGGAACCTCCACCGGCCTCCAGCCGCGAAACCGCGGTCGTGAAGCACAGTGCCTCCCTGGGAACATTTTCTTCTTGATCCCCAACCCCTACTTCTGATGGTCCAAGTATCCTACTTTGCGGGTAGCCCCCTCAAGCCAAATGTCGGATCCTGGGTGGAGCTGAGTGGGGGTGTGTAAGGCCGCAGGGGAGTTGCTTTTAGTTCCCGGCCACACCCCACCCCCTTTCTGGGGAGGGAAATTCAGAGTAGGTCCTATAGAGGCCTTGGATACTAGTCGAAGACCTGGTGGATGTGAGCTTTGCTTGCACCCAGTATTGTGTTGCGAAAGAGGTGCGTGCCTCAGTCTTAAAACCAAAGAAGCTTCTACTTTGGGAAAGCTGAGACCCTGGGCAGAGACTGGGGAGAAAAGCTGACATCTTTGGAGTAAGTGATTTAAGGCCCTTGGACCACTGCAGAAGTGTAAACAAGAAAGTCCTCTGAGCTCTCAGGGTGTGGCTCAGTGAATTGAGCAGGTGCCTATGAACCAAATGGTCGTTGGTTCGATTCCTAGCAGGGCACATGCCTGGGTTGCAGGGCCAGGACCCCCAGTAGGGGGTGCGTGAGAAGCAACCGCACATTGATGTTTCTTTCCCTCCCTTTGAAAAAAAGGAAAAAGTCCTCTGAGACCCAAGCATGGAGGGGGAGGGGTGGATAGGAGGTAAAGGTTCCAGGGTGCAAAGAGCTGGAGGCTGTGAGGTCCCTAAAAGGGAGGGGCGTGTTTTGGGGCCTTCTGCCCCATCAGATTCCTCTCTGTCAGCTCTCACCCTTTCATAGTGCTTGCACAGACCCTATTTGCCCTTGGAGAGCTAGTGACCCAGGAGAGGCTGGGAAAGGTGGAACTGCATGGGTTTTTTGAGGGGTGGTGGTGATTCAGGAGCATGGGTCCAAGAAAGGGCTTCTGCTGCCCAGGGCAGTGAGTACACGCCATTAGATAATAGCCTGGGTCTCTGCAAAGAAGGCCAACCTTCTCTCCCAGAAATGAGGACGCTCTAAGTGGAACTATCTGCCAGGGTTTCTGAAATTGAGCTGAGCCCTGGAGATGGCACTGGAGAATTGGAAGGGTTTTTGCAGATACTGAACTGCTTGAGCAAAGACCTTGAATTCTGAAATGCAAGGCATGTGCTCACTGGGGTTTGGGATCCAGGATTCACAGAGGATGCGAAAGAAGAGACAAGATGCAGATGCCATGACCCATGGACAAGTTTCTGAGCAGAGGGCACAGATGGGGAGGTGCATGGTGATCCTCTCTGGGTGGACCAGAGTGCCTAGAAATGGGATGCAAACAGGGACACCCAGAAGGGAGCTGGCCTGAGGAAACCAGGTGGAGAGGAGGTGGCCAGATAACTGGATGAGAGGGGCTTGAACTTGGGTCTGTGAAAGATCCATGGGCGACCAGAGGGTAATGCCCCTGATCAAATCCCATTGTGCGCAGCAAGGGCACCTCCCAGACTGAAATTTGTGCCACCATCACCAGAGAGAACACTGGAAATGTGAATCTGGAACTGGTAATAGCAGCATGCTGCGTGAGGGGAAAAAAAGGATATGTGAGAATGGTAGAAAAGGGAAGCTGCTCCACTGGAGTTGGAGGAAGAATAGTCAAAGAGGAAGGAAGAAACCAGATGTGGCTAGTGCCACAGAAGGAAAGGAGGAGGGAGTTTCAAGAAGGGCTGATATGTCACAGTGCAGACCACTCAGAAAGTGCATTGATCATCAGTGTGGACAGATTCAGCAGAGCTGAGGAGACTGGTATTTCACCCAGTTTCTTTTTTAAACCTAAATTACTTACAGTATTTAAAAATTTTTAGGTCAAAATGCAGTTCAACCCTGGCTCGTGTGGCTCAGTGGATTGAGCGCAGGCCAGAGAACCAAAGGGTCACCTGTTGAATCCCAGTCAGGATACATGCCTGGGTTGCTGGCCAGGTCCGCAGTAGGGAGCCTGCTATAGGCAACCACACATTGATGTTTCTCTCCCTCTCTTTCTCCCCCCATCCCTTCTCTCTAAAAATAAATAAATAAATAAATAAATAAATAAATAAATAAATAAATAAATAAAATCTTTTAAAAAATGCAGTTCATGTCGAGGCCACCGACCAGCAGCAACCAAGGAACGCTGCAGATGGCTCGTCAAAACATGAGAAAAACATACACAGAGACAACCAAATCCTGTGGAGAAATAGAGATGAAACGGCCACTTTCTCTAGTGGGGAGTACCTCGTTTCCCCGCCCGAGCAGGCTTCTATTGGGTTTGTTTGCATAAGAATTCAGGTAAAGCTCATTACTCATTGCCAGGAAGTAAGGATCAAACAATAGATAACAAGGAAGTATGAGGGCCTATTTTGAGTCAGGGTCAAAGAGCTGTAAAACTTTAAGGAACAAACTTACTTCTTCCTTAGACCCTTATCATTCAATTGAGAGCATTCTAAACAAAGCAGGTTTTACAGGATTTTACATATTCTTTCTTAGAATATTCTTTCTTCACCCAGGGAACCCGCTCTTTCCAGCACAGGGCTGCACCACCCTCTGTCATTGTTTCAGGCTTAGGTGGAGCAAGGGAACTAAGGCAACCAAGAGATAAGGAGATTTTCTCACAGACAATGAGGACTCAGGCTTTGTCAAAGCCAAGGGGCGAGGGTCCATCACCCCCTTTTGCTGTAGCCCCCAAAGTCCCTCCTTGGGGGCCTCCCATGTGATCGTGCCTGTCTTACCTGCCATTGGCTAACCGACCAAGCATTGGGGGCCAGTTATAGATGAAGTAAAAGGAGCAGAAGCAGTGCTCCTGCCAGGGAGATAAGCCTGTCTCCTTGGTGGCTTACAGTTCCAAGGTCGTACCCTCAGCCTTAGCTTTGGCAGGTGTTACAGCTTCTGACACCAGGCAGGGTGGTTCCCAACTGTTCAGATTTCCCTTTTAAAAAAATCTGATTTGACCTCAGTCGGAAAATGAAGGGGTGCGGCCTCCTCTACGTGAGCCAGACTCCCAGAACCTGGTCAGTGATGGGGTACAGCCATTGTGAGGCAGAGGGAAGGTTCTGAAGCTCTGGGGGAGACCTGGCTATAACTGGAGGAGAGAAGAAATCATTGGAGAAAGGCAGTGTGGCCCAGGTCATGCATGGGGAAGGATACAAAAGATCCTGTTCAGAGTCCATGCCAGCCCTGATAGATCCCTTGGTGTGCCAGTAGAGGGAGTACTTTTGCCAACAGGGGGTTTGCTGTCTGAGTATCAGAGCTTGGGAAAACTAATTCCAGGCTTTGGGAGCAGGCAGGGACCATGTGATTTCATCCCACTGGCCTCATTATACAGATGAGAAAACTGAGACCTTGAGGAACGGGTAATTAAGTGGCCAGGACTAGTGTCCTGTCAGCCTTCAAGGATACCTCTCAAGCCCCACACTCCTAGGTGGGTAACTCTCCTGCCACCCATCAAAGGAAACCATGAGTGAAAGGCCTGAAGTGGCCAGTAATAAGTGACAAAATATGGAAAAAGAAGCATCTGGAAGTGGCCAGGGCCTAGCCAGCCTGGAAGAAGTTCCGGGAAGGTACTCTATCCCTAGGTGAGCTAGTCCAGTCCTGGGACTCCAAACATCATCCATAAAATGATGATACTCCCTTTCTGTCTCCAGACCTGATTTCTGTCTTCTGACCAGTGGCCTCTGGCATCCAGCTGCCTGCTACCATTTCCACATCTCTTCTGTTTAGTGGCTAAAACAACTCATTTTCTCTTGTAAGCATGTTCCTCCCCAGATTTTTACAAACTGTTCCAGGCAGAAAGGATATCCCCTCTGATTTTTTTTTCCTCTACCCTCTCACTCAACCCTTCATCAGGTGACCCCCAGTTGGGCCCTCCATTCAATCACTTTTTTCCAAGCCGCTATGCTCTCCACCCTTCCACTCTGGCTTCTCTAGTCCTCTCCATACAGCAGCACGGGGAGTAGTTAACAGAGTGCAATCCTGTGTGTCCTGCCTCTGCTAAAGGGCCTCCAATGAATTCTCACCAAACACGATAAATCTGCACTCAGCCACACAGGCCTTTTTGTTCCTCATACATACCCAGGGGGCTTCCACCTCAGGGCCTTTGCACTTGCTGTGTGGTGGGCTTTCATTCAGATCTCAATTCATAAATACCTCTGCAGAACAGCCTTCCCAGTCAGCTGTGTTAAAATACCTCCCTAGAATTCCTGTTATCACCCTTACTTTATTTTCTTCATAGCATTTATCATCTGACCCTATTTTGCCTATTTACTCGAATACAGGGAGCTCTCTAAGAGCAAAGATCTGCCTTGCTTTCTGCCAGGCCTCAACCCTGGGCACATCTTGCCTGGCTCATGCAGCACCTGCTCTCTTTTCTGGGCCTAAGGAAGACATGGGTTTGCCAGAAAGGTGGCAACAGGAAGGTGGACTGGGAGTCTAGGCCCTGGTTTGGCTTGAACCTGGCTCTCCTACAAACTCTATTGTGACCCACTACTCCGACCCACACAGCCCAGCCTGGATTCCCCAGTTTGTGAAAAAGGGTTGGATGTATGGACTTTGTGTGACCCCTTCAGCTTTGACAGTCTGGTTCTGGACTTCTGAACAGAGTAGATGTCCTTGAGAGAAG